ATGTAAAAAGTTTGGAATAAAAAGCGCCAATGGCTAAAAGCGACCAGAGGACAATCGCAGACACCTACACTTGTTCACAGACACACACACACAGACACACACGCACACATGAGCATCTAAGGAGGGCGTGGCCGCTACGTGCACTGCCTGAGCAATGGAACATTTTTAATAAACTTTTTCAAATAAAAATTTATTTACGTTGACGTGCAATTTTTGGACCAATTAAATCGCCGCACATGCAAAGCGAAGCCAAGAAGTAGACAGGGAGAGTGAAAACGAGTGGGAGAGGGAGAGGGAGGGAGCGACAGATGTGTGGGCACGATAGTGCCTGCTCACTCACTCTTTGGGCAAATGGCAAACTTTACAGTTACAGCAACTGTTTTATTGCAGAGTTGTTGCTGTTGCTGTTGTTGTTGTTGCTGTTGTTGTTGGCAGCAAGTTCTGTGGAACACTTGGCATTTCCGCTCTTAAATTTAATTAGCTTGAAATGCTGCATAATTCTGTGGCATCGTTTGTCAAACTAATGACAATAATTGCGATAAAGCCAGCATTAAATACACTCTGATATATGGATGCATTTGCATATGTATGTGTGAGTATTTTAAAAACGAATTGAATTGAAATGTTTGCCTGTTTGTTTGTTTGCCTGTTGGTTTGTTCGGCTGTTTGCTTGAATGTGTGCGTGCGTGTGTGTGTGTGTGTGTGCTTGCTGAATTTAACAGGTAAAATAAATGCAGGCGGTCGCCTTTTGTTTTCGATTTAATGAACTGTAAAGTGCTGCCATATTTATTGCAATTGTATTTTTTTGCCGCTTCAATTTTTCCTGTTTTTATTATTATAATTATTGTTTATATTGATGATGTTGTTGTTGTTGTTGTTGCTGTTGTTATTGTTATCGCTGTTGTTGCTCCAACAATTTGGTTGTTGCATTTTATGAAAATTTTAATGCATTTAATTTAAATTACGGCTACGTCGATTTTGATCATCGTTATAAACATTATTTTTTGCCATTCTGCTGGTCATTTACATTGCGGTTATTGCCAGCTTCATCTCTTTCTCTCTCTGTCTCTGTCTCTGTCTCTGTCTCTGTGTCTGTTTCCCTTTCGCTCTTTGTGCATCTCTTGCTCTTCCTTTCATAATGACGTCTGCTTATTTTATAGTCAATAAACATTGTCAGCCTTATCGCAATTAATTGAAATTAATGCACACCCTTTGTAATAGGTCATTTGCGGTTTTCCCAATCCCGCCCTGAAACTACAAAGTTATCTGAATCACTGCTGCTGCTGCTGCTCCTTGCCTATTGCCGGCTGCTAATTGCAGTGCAAAACTAATTTAAGCCTTGGCTATGTGCAACTCTGTAGAACGAATTTAAACGGTATGGCTTATACAGATTTTAAGTAAACACACAAAGAAGGCTGAGTCTGGAATGTATTGAGCTATTGATTTAACGCAGCTACAGCTCCTGAGTTATTCAAGATCTAGATTGGAAACAGTCGAAGATTTTTTAATAAACTTATTTTAAGGAAGCTACACCACATACCACATACACGCACACTCACATACACACATTTATTTACACACACACAGACACACAAACTTGGAGTTACGCTTGCAATATTTAAATTCAATTGCATATGTTCGAGCTTGACGGCGCTACGGGGCGCATACTTAACGAGCCACGGCACTCGTCCAGTGCATATTTTATACACATAATTTAATTATCATTGTTGCAAATATGAGATACAACACGCATGAAAAAGTTCGCGTTGCGAGTGCTCCACATATATATTCAATATAGAGACTATTTCATGCCGAATTTGTATTTTAATAATATCCCAGTTATATGGAACCATTCACTATTTCATATTGAATTCATAGTTCAATAATATCTCAAATGTTTCTCGATTGAAGCGAGGGCCAAGAAATACTGACCTACAATGCCCTAAGTCTAGATACGACTACGTACTGCTGTCCACACAGCAGCCACTCCTCGTTTAAGAGTAAGAGTAGTACTACTGGACGGGTTCTTGACTACAAATCTATCAAATATCCTTTTAAACTATATCTGTGATAGTTGCACTCATAAATTCTTCTGTATTTTAACTCTCTCAATCTCAACTGGATCGATGTCTCTCCTTCGGCAAGGATATCTCTATTGAAAATTGGATTATACTCGATTCAAGCACACAACTCTTTAAAAAAAAAAACCAAGATACTAACAAAAAAAAAAAAAAAAAAAAAACTCATCCTGTATAATTGCAAATAGACTGTTTAGGAACAAATAGTACAATGGAGTCATTTAATTAAATTTATTCCACTCTTCGTTCAATTTCTAGTAGGTATATAAGTCGTACAAAAATGAAGTCTATTTCATTATTTTAAGCTGATTGTTATATCAGATTCAATAAAGTACAGAATGTATTTATTTTAGGGATTCATTGAATTATTCTCTCGTTCGCTTTCACATTTCTATCCCTAAACTTTCAAGTTCTCTGAGCAGAGTATCGCACAGTCAGATCCGATCGACGTGTCGATTGACATTTGGAATATATATATATATATAAAATAAAAAGCTGGCGTAATTTTATTTGCGATATTTGTCACATTTACTCGAAAGCCCTTCGGGCACGCCAAATCGTGCTATTATTTATGAATTATGATGCACTTTGCTATTTTTATGACATTTAATTGTTTTAATTTTACGCGTCCGATCCCATTAAATATGCGCAACGCCGCGGCGATAATAATAAAAAGATTTGACATTATGAATTTAATGAAATTAATATTTGTGATGCAATTACGCGTTTTTAGAGCACATTATTCAAGCACTCGAAATTGAATTAAATTTAAATGCAATAGTTTGCGCCGATCCATCTGCCAGCTCGGGCTGGCATAGTTTGAAGTTAATTGCCCTTGATGCGCGGCCGTGATGGGCCCCGCTGCCAATAACTGTATAAATTAATGCAATATTATTAACCGACAAAATATGCCCATCAAATGGCGCCCCAAACAATTTGAAGTTTACGATAATTGTGGCCAATAAAGCGTTGCCATGGATGAGGCCGGCCAAGTGTTGGCATAAATGAATATTGATGGCAGCGGGATGCATTTAATTGGTCTCTCAGATGCCGACTAGAAACCCTAACCGGAACTACTGCTGCAGCATTACAGCAAGTAAGTTGGCTGATATTCAATATTTGCAGCTGATGGAGCTCCCTCCGCCTCCACTGCGCTTTAAGTGCCATTAAAATGGCAAATAGGCTGTAAAAGTCGCCCGACCCAAACAGTTTTCTCTCCGCTCCCCCCTCGCGAGTGCAGGAGGTGCAGGAGTCTGTTAATTTCATCAGAGCCACTGGTAATGGAGTTGCACCCCAGCACCCCACCACCCCCCACCCCAGCAGCCCAGAGACACAGAGCCAGAGCCAGGCCCTGGATGGATTCTGTTTTTGTGGCCGATGCGCTGAAAAATATTTGCAAAATGAATGCCAAAGAGGGCAGTGCGGTGGGCGTGGTTTCTATATGCACATACATATAATCGGCAAGCCATGCAGCCAGATGGGCTGACCGAATGGGAGCCACTGCGGACTGGCTACAATTTATTATATTAAGTATTAATGTTGGCTACGCCGGACAGCCAGAGCAATACATTTTGCTACTGTCTGTCTATCTGTGTGTGTGCTAGTGTGTGTGTGTGTGTGTGTGTGTGGGGAATGTTGGTATATATGCATAATCCGAAAGCCAAAAGTAATTATATTAAGTAATTGATGAATTTGCCTTTTTCCGCGGCAATCCTCATCAGACGACGACAAACACTTTTTGCCAAAGGCTACGAGCATACCACGCCCACTCCCCAGCACCGCAGGCGCAATTGTATCTATCACACACACAGACACAGCTACTGTCGGCTAGGAGGGGGATTTGTGCTATATGGCCAATGCCAGACAAACGCCAGACGGCCTGCGCCGGCTACACAGTAGACGATAGACTGTATCCCGTGGACTATCGTCGTCCGGCCGTGGCTGTTAGTGCTGGAGCTGTGGCTGGAATAAAATTTAATAAAGCGCCAAATAAAAATTTATTGTGTGTCATTTTAGGCGCAGTGCGACAATGACGGACAATTTTGATTTGCCGACTTGATAGCCGTCAATTTCCGGCAAGAGCGCTCCAAGAGCAATAAGGGATAGTTGTTACACATATTCACATACACACACACACACACACACACACTCATACTTCAGTTGATTTGAAGATTTATTTGCTGCTTTAAATTTAAGTGATATAAATTGCACTCGAAAGCCTTCCTCGGCCGGGAATCAGCTGTGAAGGGGTTGCCTCCCCCCCAAGTTGCATATCTGGATGACTGATTGGCCATAAAATGTAAAATGCTCAGCCTTTGGCTGTGGGGCTCGCCTGCAGAGCGGTTGCAAATGTGAACTGTCCTGCCAGCTGTAAAAGTTCTGGCTCACACATACTATTGGCGCAGCGATTGAGACTCATTAATAAGCCGAGAGAGTAGTAAAAATTTGATAATGGCTCCTTTTATGGGCTCTTATCGAAGGCGTCGAGCATAACAAATGCTCGCAGAGCACTCGCCGTCCAGTGGGCAGCCTAGAATACTCTCGGCTAGTTATCTGGGCGATTGCCTTGTCCCATTGTTGAATGAAATGGTAGAGAGAGTGAGTGAGAGAGAGAGAGAGAGAGAGAGTGAGAGAGAAAATGGAAAGAAAGAAACTTTCAATTGATTGGGGCCTCCGTTTGGCAGTCGACAGAACTTTCTCTCGTAAATGCGAAGCGATGCCGAAGTTTATTACTCAATTACAAAGCCATCAAAATAAAAAGGGAAACGTCGACAGCGAATGGCCAAGAAATCCAAAAGATAAATGAAATTGATAAGCGCGTAATTTATGTTTGGATTTCGTTTTATTCTGTCATTAACGCACATTTGCCATTTGCCATTTGCCACGCCCCTCGCGAGGCCGAGCCGGTCCCGAATGCCCGTTTTTCGGAAATAATTTCTCTGGCCACAGAGCGAATGGGCGAAAATGCTTTCACTTTCGAAGGTTCCATCAATTGGTCGAAAATGTCTCTCAGCCGAGTAGTTGCCCCAGCTAACGATGTGGACGGGATAGTTTTTGCTCCTGCTCCTTAACTAATTCCCAGACAAGGTGGGTATATATGTATATGTATGTGTGTGTGTGTGTGTGTGCTTGTGTGTGTGTTTGTGTGTGTGTCGCATCCGTAGCACAGTCTAACCTCTTTGCCCACACTCTGGCATCACATCGATCAAAGCGAGCAATTCCCAGCGTAAATGACATTAAACCTCCCCCCGCTCACCCCCTTACCCATCACGATTGCGGCATATAAACTGCCAAGGCAGTTTGCCAGCGTTTGGGGGCTGGGGTTCTGTTCGCTCAACGGATATTCTGTGAGAGCATTAGAGGGTCTCTGATTGTGCCACGCCCACTTTACCAGCATAATGCATAACTAATTTTCGCAGTAGAATCAACAATGGGTTTGCTGGCTGCATCTACTGAAATATTGAAACATGAAAATTGTCAAAAACAGCGACAAGAGCACAAAACCCAACGAGAGAGAGAGAGAGAGAGAGAGAGAGTGAGAGTGAGACAGGCAGGGAGAGGGGGGAGAATGGGATGTCATGAGCATTACCTGTCAGGCCTGTGCGGAAATGAAATTTTGCAATGATATCAAAGAGGTGGGACAAAGTTGGTGTGGAGGCGGGGGCGTGGCATGAGCTATGCATGCATATTTCCTCCTGACTGACAATTTTGACAATGTTGACAATTTTTGTTATGCAATAAAAATTATGTGTGTGGGTGGTGCGTGATACGTGGCTCAGCCGTGTGTTATACAAACTGTTATATTGCGGCTTTGCTAATTGTTGAATTCATTTGAGTGCACTTTACACTGGCAATGGAAATGGGGAGCCCAAGCGCCACTTTTGATCTCGTTTCCTTCGATAGGCGATTAATTAATTTTGATAATCGGCAGCGAATAGAGTGGAATGCAAAGGGAATAGCTATGATGACTAAAAGCACGCAAATGGAATTGCTTCCGAGAGCTGGGCACACTGAAAGCACTGAATGTGCCCCGATAAATGCTCGATACCTCAACATTGACGACGGCCACACAGTTATCTGCCGTAGAAGTAGAAATTCATTAGCGTCACGTTCCAGCCGTTTGCACCTGCACATATACACACATACACTTGTGTGGCTGTGCTGCTGACCAGACACTTCAGGCGGGGAGGGGCAGCACTCACGAAAATCCACTAAAGCAATTCAATTCAATTACAAAACGCTCGCCCCAGCCACCCCGGCCACCCCGGCCGCCTCAGTCCGCCCTTGGCCTGTCAATTAGCGGGCTGTCTAAGCTGATACGCATTTTATGTAGCATACCTGTGTGCGGGACGCAAAAATGTTGGCCTTTAATCAACGCCAAGTTGAGCAGGCCGACGACTTAGCGGCTGATTGGATTGCGGCTGCCGCAGCTCACGGGGGGGTGGAGGCTGCTAAGAAGCCCATGATAGCAGGAGCTTTAAAAAGGCGGCCGAAGCGGGGTGAGCTGCGTTTTTATAATTAGACGCAGCCAAGGCAACAACAAATTAAATCAACGACAGCGGGATTCGGGGCGAGGGGAAGGTAAGCTGAATAGGTGCGCTCTTGTTCGGAATTAGCCGGGCTTTAAGAACTCGTCATTTGCGGTAATAAATCTTCAACCATTTACTCACACCTGCTCTAATCATTTTCCATTTTCCATGTTCCGTTTTCCACTTTACATTTGCTGCTTTGCTTCTTTTTCGTTTTTTCGTTTTTTTCTTCATGCTGCGCTTTAAGTAATTTCAATTTCATTTTCATTTCTCACACAGACAAAAGTAATTAGAGGCTCTGGCGTATTTTACGTGCCGAATTAATTAAAATTATTTCCATTTCTTTTCTTATTTTTCTCAAGTCAGTTATTTCCGCTGAACACGATTTCTGCCCGACCCTCGATGCGATGCGATGCGATGCGGTAATTAAAACGACATTATTCAATATTACAAATGCGAAAACAGCCAAAGCAAAAAGGATTTTGAAAGGTAAAAAAAAGGAATGGGTCGGGCAGGAGACGGCGCGTCGGCTTCAACAGGCGTTTATTACTCCTCGGACGAAAGCGGACTATCTAGATGGGGCCAAGAAATGGATAGAAGAGCCAGCGGTAATGGGAACGGGTTCGGGTTCGGGCTCGTAAAACCCTTTTCCTGCCCACGTTTCCTGCCCTTGGTCCTCAACCTTTGTGGCAAGGTAAGAAATCAAAAAACGATTAGTCTTAGATTTTTTCTGCTTTCCTTTTCATTTTTCCTTTAGCCCTTCTGGCTGCGCCTTATGTGATGAGTGGCGCGTGTTTTTGCCTCAACATGACAGTGGGCGTGGCTGCGCCCAGTGGCAAGTACTTTCAATAAGGCTGCCCCATCTGAATGACCAAGGCAGACAAATTTAATCGCTCCGCCCTGTTCCCTCTCCTCAGTGTCCCGTCCACAGCTCCAGTTCATTGTCGACATTGGAGCTGATGTTGGTGTCGGCATTGTCAGCATGCGGTTCAATAAACTTTTGTCTAGCCTAGAAATCCATTAACGCACCATCGACTTGATCGATTTTCCGTAGGTCCGAAACAACGAATCGACGCTAGGCAAATCACAAAAAACATGATGGAAAAAAGTGCTCGCTGCAGTGCAGTGCAGACGGCGACTGCGACTGCGACTGCGACTGCGACTATTTTTAATCACTTCAACAGTTTTATTGTCTGCTGCCAACGAGCGAGCAAACGCACTCACAAATTTAATAGATTGCCGAGCGGGCGGGCAGCGGGCAGCGGGCAGCGGTTCGTCTGCCATGGAAGGCGGCTAGCAGCAGAGCAAACAAAAACGCATGAGCTAAAATGTAAACATAAGCACAAAAAGAGAAGGAAAGGCAAGGGGGAGTGAAAAAAAAAACAAGCCGTCAAAGTAGAAAGAGCCGGAATTTAAATGCGGGCAACAAGGGGTTAACTCTGCGAGTCAGCCAACGCCTATTCACAGCAGCAATGAATGACTCGTCAGCGCCTGGGGGTATGCAATGGATTTATGAAGATATTCCCCCTCCTGCTGCTGCTGCCGCTGCTGCCACTGCGGCAAATGATTTTGTCGATAAGCATGAAAGACGCCAAGCCGGTAAATCTAGCAGCAATCTGCCCCACGCCCAGCCCGACAGATGCATATCAATGAAGCCCACGTGGGGGTCTAGCAAATGCCATTGCATGCCACCGTGCCACTCAGCCGCCCTCGGAAGTTTCAGGACATTCTTGCGCTGGCGTGCGTCATCGTCCTCGAGCCCAACCTGACACGAATCTGCACGATACGGCTGCGTGCCTTCAAGTGTTACACATTTGCATTTTGGCTACAAGCACATACAACACAGCAACAAAGCACACAACAGAGAAGGGAGAACGGAGAATGGAGAATGGAGAACAGGGAACTGAGAACTGAGAACTTAGAGCCTGCCAGAGCCGTCATAGTTGGCGCAAAAAGTAGTTTGCCCTTTAGTTATGAAAATTGCGAGTTGCTTTTGTTTTGCGAGCCATTTTTAGACGCTTATAATTGCTCCATTAAAATTTGTTTATGGCCAAAGTTTATACTTGACAAGCAGGTCGTGTTGAGCTCCGCTGCCAGCCCAGTAATTAGAACGTCACAACTTTTTCTCCTGCTGTAACTGGGCGCTATTTTCGGACTCCCTAGAGGATTATTTTAGCGAGCACGCTCTCTGCTGCTCTGTCACGATATGGAAGCAAGTTAGCTACTTCAAAACTGGATTGTTTCTCATTACGATTTTCCCATGAACTGAACGTTATCCGAGCAGTTAGCAAGAAATCCAAAGTTCTTCAAAAAGTCAATCTCTGCGTATCGTATTTATAAAATAAATGACATTAAACCCAATTAATGGCCCAATCCAATTCATTTCATTTCATTTCTAATCTATATATATACAAGTAAAGAAATTGTCCTAATGTATTTCAGGGGATATCTCTCTTATATTTGCAGTAGCTACAGTTTTTCTTGCCATCAGCAGGGAGCAGAGAGTCAGGTGGACAGTGTCATTAGCCCACACACACACACACACACACACACACACACACACACAGAGTGACTCTTCCACATCTTCGCACTTTGTAATTGGCAATGATTGAAAGCTCCTGCCCGGAAGCCATAGCATTGCGCATCGCATCATTTGTTAGATGACACATGCAAAAAGTTGTTACCTTCCATCAATTACCAGAAGGTTAGACAAGGTCGGGCGTCGTCCTGATGGGGCTTTTACTTTTAATCTCTGCTCTTGGGGTGCGCTGGATCTAGCTAACTCTTTCGTTCGGGAAATTTAATATCATCGCACCCAGAGTTTCTATTGGCGTTACACTAAAAGGTTTTCACGACGCTTTTAATTACACGTTAAACAAAAGCAGCGCACACTCACACGCACACACCCATAACACAGACTGAGACCCGCCCATCAAGGCCAACCAATTTTTGTTGCTGCCCCGGTTCGGTTCGGTTCGGTTCGGTTCGGTTTGCAAATTGCGAGAGTTTGCGATTTGCGCTTGATTAAATTCTAATTATAAAGCGTGCGTATTTCCAGTAGCCGCTTCGCCTCGCTCTGCCCCGCCCCCATTTTCTCCATTCACCATTTCCACTGATTTTTACGACTTTTTAATGATTTTGACTGCCAGTCACTCATTTCGCCACGTTCCTTGTTGCCGCTGCCGTTGCCGTTGCCGTTGCTGTGGGTAGCTCGCTTCCAATAGCAGCTATGCGTGTTAGGTCTTCTTCTTGCTCCTCCTCCTCCTGTTAATGCTGCTCCTCTGTTTTAGCTTTCCCTTTCGCCAACAGTTTTCCAATTTTCTTTGGCATTTCGTTTACGTTTCGATAATTCTCGGGTCCTTATTGGGTTGCTTGGCTGTTGTTGGCCTTGCGTGCAATTTGCACTGCCTCCAGCGCCTCGACTCCTGCCCCCACCAAGCGCCACTCGCCACCCGCCACCCGCCACCCGCTGCCTGCCGCGTTGCCGCGCCCACTTTGTTTAATGCGACTTTTAACGCTGATTAATGTTTCCTCGTACTGGCTGTCCCTTTACCTTTGCCTTTTGGTTTCGGCTTCGGTTCTGGTTTCCATTTGGCATTCTTTTTACTGCGCTTTCACGGCTTGCATGTCAAATGGTTCTCTTTTTTCGCATTATTTTTTGATATTGCGAGATTTACGAGAATCGTTTCGAGCGGTGCGTTTATTAAATTCATTAAAAATATCCATTTCGACCGCAGCGAGGCCAACAAAACCAATAACAGTGACAACAACAACAAAAACAACAACAGCAACAACAAGCTGCGACATTTAAACATTTGCCAACTGGCAAGTTATTTGCTGGCTGTCACATGTCAATAAAATTAACACTTGAATGGCAAAGCCAACAACGGACAGACAGGCGGACAAGTGGACGGACGGACGGACGGACGGACGGGCAGATGGACATATGAACAGACAGCGTAGAAATAATATATACATTTGTCTGTGTGTGTGTGTGTGTGTCTACTTTTTTTAAATTAAAACAACAACAATCAAAAGGCCTAAAGGACAACGAGCTAAGCTGCCTGCAATAATTTGCTCGACAGCTGCAAATGCAAATTTCAGCATGAACTAAATTGAAATTTATACAGAAATCTATGTGGACATGGCATGCTGACCGAATGCTCTCTCTCCCTCTCTCTGTCCCTCTCTCTCTGTCTCTCTCTCTCCCTCATACTTTGCTGGCTGCTGAAATGGAAATTACATTAAGTGCTCGCTGCAGTCGAGGCGACCCGAACAACAGCCACAACATTTGCTGCTGTTATTGGGACAATTTTCACTAAAATCAAAGCGAATTACACTCAATTGCAATCATTTCATATTTCCGGACCGCTAACTGCTCTGGCGCCTGAAATGCTGCCGTTCTTGGCTGCTGCAGCTTCAGCAACAATAAATGAATTTTCCAAGGGAGCCAAATTGGAAAATGGAATAGATTTTTGATGTTTATGTTAATGTTCCCTACTTACAGCACTGCTGGAGACATTTCGGAAACGATTCTATTTAGATTTAAAAATGTTTCAACTATTTTATCTATAGATGTATAGATCCAATATAATAGAGCAATACAAATATCAACAGAAAAGCAAAACAATGAAAATCAGCAATCACAGTTAAATATAATCATTCATAAAGTTTTTCAATATATCTCTCTAGTAGACAGTTAAAGATACCAACCACATTTGCTCTACATAATTATTCTACAAATTTCGTATTGCAAAACTCATATTGTTCATTCTACGGGTTCAGGGAAATAAATTATAATAAATAAATAATTTTATTTGTTGCGAGTCTAGTGCACTATTAAAGAGTCACTGCATGCAAAACATGTCGCTCTGCATGCTCCTCAAAGTATTATTCAAAGCGAATAATTTGTTGCCTGATCTGCTGCATTTTGGTCGGGCGCAAAGTATGCAATGTTGCAATGCATATCATGCCGCAAGTTCATTGCCAACACAGGCACACATACATACATATACTCATAATATACACAGAAAGAAAGAGAGAGAGAGAGAGAGGGTGGGGAGCAAAGCGGCTTATAGTTGACATAATTGTTTGTGTGAAGCTTTTGAGCATTTTGGAGCAGCATCGGTCGAGGGGTCATTGCAGTGGAGTGTGTCTGCTGTCTGTCGTGGCTTTGTCCGAGCCAGGCCAATAAAATATGAATTTATGGCCTATTTGCATGGCTTTGCGCAAAGACAAGTGCTCTTTGCACAGAGAGACAATGCAACAATGCTGTGGCACATTGGCCAAACGAGTCTGTGATTCGAAAACAAGCAACTAAGTCACTTGCAAAGCCAAATTAAGGCACAAAACTTCCCCAGCTTAATGAGTTTACGCACACACACAGACATGGTTTGAGCATGCCAATACAACAGAGCCACATCCACATGGCGCAAGCATATAGAAACTGTGCGGAGCTGGCGTCTAAAAACTGCATAAAAAGCCAAAAGCATCCGAGCCAACGAATTGTGCTGTATCATTGAAAGCGTTGTAAGCATGACACCCTAGCATAAGCATAAAGCGGCTTGGGGCCTTCACTCAGATTTGGTAATGGATTCGGGACGGGCCAACACTTAGTACCCTGGGTGGGGTCAAGCATTGCTTCAGCCGAGGGATGAGCGCCGATTGTCGAAATGCTGACTACTGAGAACCTCAAAATTTGCATTGCTCAATGCCCGCAACGAGCCCTAAACGGATTTAGTTCGAGCAACGGCATTTCAAGAGCATATTGAATGTACGAACTATACGAAAATTTCTAATTGACTAACTCGATTTGAAGGCAACTGTACGGCAAGTTGATGATGACGATGCTTTTCTCGCTTGGCTCTCTTGGTCGTCCTAGACAAACAGAAACGAAAAGTTCCCTTACACTCCCAGCTCCCAGCCCTGCTCCCCAGCCATTGGCAGTGCCCCGCTCCCCAGCTATGGCCTTTGTAGAAAGTTTAGTGTCAAATGGATAAATTTGATTATGATTCTTAGTTGGGTTATGGTAATCGAGTTGGAAATACTTCAAAGTTTCGTTTCGTTGATGGCGGCAGGGCTTCTGCGCGCTTTAAAATCTGCGCTCATTTACGCATTCAAAAGGGTTTTCAGTTTCATGAGCAAATTAATTGCTCGACAAATTTAATGCTTGGCGCAAGCTAAAAGCAAGGTTCTGCTATTCAACAGAGATCTCATCAAGTATGCATTAAATCGCATCCAGCTGAGATTTTGATGTCCAGTTCTAGTTGCCCTGAGAAATCACACTTGAAATAAGAAAAACAAAAAACAACTCATATAACATCGTATGAGGAAACGTAGTCCAATAATAGTCCAGGGAATTACTCTTTTGGTAAGTGAATAAGTAGAGATGTAAATCAAAAGCCTAATCATCTTTAATTGCAACAATGTTGAATTGATAAACGAAATGACGGAAAATATTACCCATATAAATGCATTATTGATAATATTCCCCATAAACCTATCATAATGGACGGCTATCTGAATGAGTGTGGAATATTTATGCATATTAATTAGGCTGGCGCCCATTTAACGAATGGACATGGGCATGGCCATAGCTCTGGCTATTATGCATATTTGTAAACACTTCAATCAATTAGTTTTAGGGCCGACTCTAAATGCAGTTTTTCGATATCCGCATAAACCGGCCACAAAATAACCAAATAACTTGTACAAATTGTTCGCATTAGATTTGGAAATAATATGCATTATGCAGGCAACAAAAAATGCAATCTAAATTAAATGTGAAATGCGCAAGCGGGCAACATAAGAGGAACAATGGATTATGCATGTGTGTGTATGTGTGTGTTGGGCTAATGAAGCTGGCAATTCACATAGTGCGACACATTCACACCTGCAATTAGCTACTCCCTGCGTATGGGAGGGGCGTGGTCGCTGTCAGTCAACCAGTTGGAGTTGCAATTGCAATTGCAGTGGCTGCTGCAGCTGTCCAAAATGTAATATTTAACGTCATTTTATGCAAATTGAAATTATGTTAATGGGCAACCAAACAGCAGCAGCAGCAGCAGCGGCAACAGCAGCAGCGGCAACAGCAGCAACAGCAGCAGCAGCAACAGCAGCAGCAGCAGCAGCAGCAGCAGCAACGACAACAAGAACAACCTTGGCAAATATTATGCGAAAAGTGAAGCATTAAGCATGCAGACTGCTGCCAAACAATGTCGATTGTTGACTCTATTTACATGCCACATACATATTATGCAGAGAAAGGGAAAGAAACAGTGCGAGCGAGAGAGAGAGTGAGGGCGCTTGTGTGTGGGCGAGCTGGCAGCATGAAGAAACTGCACATGTCTTCGGCGGCAATTGAATTGACAGACAGTCAGTCACCCATTCAGTCTGAGCTCCATTCATCCATCGACTCATTCATTCAATCTCGTTCATTTCGAATTCAGTTCGCAATTCGCTTAAAGCATTTTGCATGTTTAACCGCCGCTCGGCTTCTGTTTTCTGTCATATTAATAATAATGCATGCCTGCAATTGCAACAGGAGCAGCAGCAGCAACAGCATCTGTAACTGGCAACTGCCAACAGGCAAACTTTGCTTCATTTGCATTTTCATAATAATCATAATAATGTACAATACAATCACTTCAATGCAGCAGCATCAGAGGCAGCCTGAGCCGTAGCCGTAGAACCACCAAACCCAAAAACCGATAGCTGCCAGCAAACGTAATAAGCACATAAACTTATTCTGTTGCATGCCACTGCGTGTGGCATTTATAGTGACGACTGTGAGAGAGATCGAGCCTGACGAGCCGACAAGCTGTCGCTGTTAGGGACTAGGCCACAGGGACTAGGCCACAGAGCTAAACTCATAGGCAGGGCGAAGCTCAACACATTTCGATATATTTTTTCTATCTCTCCTTCGTTATTAACGTCTCTCGTTTATATTTTCTTGAGTTGTCCATTCATTATCTATCTGTTAATCTCTATCTTTATATCTTCATATGTCCCTCTCGCTGTCTCTATTTCTCTTTCTCGATCTCGCTCCTTTATCCATCTATCAAATGTTGTATCTCATTTGCACGGGATAGGTTATATACTATGTAACATTTGTAACAGCTTTGCGACGATTATGTGATCAGCATTTATAAAGGAGCAAAATTATTTTACAGTAAAGTTACTTAGGAGATATCATGAATGATTTATTCTCGTCCACAGGTCGATGGCCACACTCTTACATGTTTCTATTGAAATGTTTATACGTACCTAAAACGAGAAAGAGGAAATTGTCTCAATTAGTATAAAATCAATTTGGTTGTCAAATGGGTTAATAATCAAGTGAGTTAGTTTAGTTCGCATTGTAGCTGATGTCAGCTTGATTTATGTTATGGAAGCTAGCCAAAATTTAAAGAGAGGATGATTGCAGGGCAAACGAATCTAAGGGACAACAAGGACGACTCGAGGATAAGTGACAGTTACAATAAAAAATCACTCAACTAGGGCTAACTAGATTTCAGTCCCAGAGAGAGTCAGACAGAACTAGAAGAGAAGCAGAAACTTAGTTCCAAGGGCTTACCCATACGTTTAAAGTGCTCTTTACACACACATACACACACATTACACACTTACATAGAATCACAGACAGACATATATTCGCAGAGGACTTGAGTGAAAAAGGAACTAAAGCAATTTCAAATTGAAAACGGCTACGAATTAATCAAATGCTTTTGCCGGGCAGTCTAGCCATTAGAAATACGGACAAAAAATAAACTACGGCCAAAGAGAAATCTCGTAAACAACACGAAAATGTCAGTCAGTCAGGAAGCCAGAAGCCAGCGATAAAGGCAACGCCACAGCTCAAGGCAGAGCCAAATACAAATGCAAAGGCAAAGCCAAAGCCAAAGGCAAAGGCAAAGGGAAATCGAAGCAGGACACGGAGCCAACCCTTTCGGCAATGCGCATTTGCTCCTGATACGCAGTCTGTGTGTAAAATGGATACCCCTACTATATATATATGTATATATATTTTGTTTTCAGTATATATCCGCATGTGTGTGTGTGTCGACTTATATAGTGCAACGCATTAAATCGATAACACGATTTTTCAGCACGAACACACAGTGCGAGTTAAATTGTCAGTTTCATTACATGGCAGGGTTTTTTCTAGCTTTCTTTCTTTCTTTCGTTTCTTTAAAAGCCAAATCACTTCGTCTGCGGCAGAGCTGGGCGAACGCCCTTCCCCGGTAGTAGTTCCTCTTTCGGCGTTCCGGGTTCGGCTTTCGGTTTTGGGTTGCCTTTGGCCCTGGCGCTTCCATTTCTCACATTGCGACAAACGATTTTTCAACTTGGCGCTTCATCGAGCGTCGCTCCCTGCCTGGCCACAGTGGCACCATTTGATTTTGTTGCTTTTCAGTTCTTTTATTTCGTGGTTGGCGCGAGCAAACTCAATTCTACTCAATTTTTGGCGAAGGCGTGTCAGAGCGCCATCCACAGGCAAAAACAAAGGAGAACTGAAAACGCACAGAGAACTTGGCTTTTTGCCCCTTAGAGACGCCAGACGC